TTCATCAAAATCCATTGAGCCGTTCCGGAGATATACCTACAAAACAAACATCCATCCATCCATTATCGCATTTATAATATTAACTAGCTGTCGCCCTTCACTCCGTCCGCGCGGAATTGAGTGAAAAAAACTTAATTCGCAGCCTATGTGTTCTTCCAGACTATGTTCTATATGTATGCCAAATTTCATAAAGATCCGTTAAACCTTTCTAGAGATAACAAACATCCATCTAAACGTTCGCATTTTTAATCTTAGATTAAAAAGGGTCTTGACAGACAGACGGACGGACAACAAAGTGATCCTATAAGGGTTCCGTTTTGTTCCTATGAGTTACAGAACCCTAAAAATGGATTTTATCGAATATTTGTGTTATTGATTAATTAATTAATGTTTATCATTTCAAGTTGTATTCAAACAAGATTTAGTTCGTAATATATAATACATACAAATAGCATAAGGAATCATCATCATCAGCTCACTATACGTCCCCACCGAGGGGATCAGAACCTACCCTAAGAGTGATTAGGCCATAGTCAACCACGCTGGCCAAGTGCGGGTTGGTTGACTTCACACATATCTTTGAATTTCTTCTCAGATATGTGCAGCATCACGATGTTTTTCTTCACCGTAAGAACGTCGGATAAATGTACATATGTAAATCGTAAATCGAAAAACACATTGTTACATGGTAGTTTTCGAACACAGGACCTGCAGATTGCAAGTCAAGTGCTTTACCACTGAGCCACCGACGCTCGCATAAGGAATAAGGAATAATTCCTATAAATTTAATATTAGATCGTGACATCACTTTTCTGTGTAAGCCGTACTCAGAAATATATTCATATTTTAATATTCCACGACTGAGTCCATTTACTTAAGCACATCGCATTGGTGGATCAGGGCCTAAAACCTCGACTTGTAATCTGCAGGTACTACGTTCGAATCCCGTCATGTACCAATGGGTTTTCTCAATTTTAATATGTACTTTTATTCCATGTTCTTACGGTGAAGGAAAATGTGATGTTGCACATATCTGGGAGGAAATTCAAAGATATGTGTGAAGTCAACCCGCACTGGGCCGTGGTTGACTATTGCCTAGTCATCTCTAACTTAGGGTAGGCTCCGAGCCCCTCGGTGGGGACGTATACCGAGCTGATGATGTTGAAGGCATCTCACATCGGTGGACCAATGGTTAAAACCTTGGCTTGTAATCTGCAGGTACTACGTTTGAATCCCGCAATGTACCAATGTTTTCTCAATTTAAATATGTACATTTATTCCATGTTCTTACGGTGAAGGAAAACATAGTGTGCACATGTCTGGGAGGAAATTCAAAGATATGTGTGAAGTCAAATGGTCACTGTGGTTGACTATGACCTAGTCACCTCTAACTTAGGGTAGGCTCCGAACCCCTCAGTGGTAATGTATAGTGAGCTGATGATGTTGAGGATCTTTGTATATAACTCCACATCGTCGTAACCAATATTATATATTTTAATAAAAAATATTCCACTGTGGTATTTTCAAGTACAATAATTTCTAAGTTGTATCTTTGTATTATCGAACAACGGCGTTGGTGGTGTAATGGTCAGCATAGTTGCCTTCCAAGCAGTTGATCCGGGTTCGATTCCCGGCCAACGCACGCTTTTTGTTGCTTACCAAAAAATTCGATTCAATCTAACCATACTATATTTTTGCCACACTTTAGTATATGCAGTTTTTACGTCAATTTAACATTAACGGTTTGATTAATTTTAAAAAGAGAGGTATCATACTGTTTACGAATAATCTTACTAATATTATAAATGCGAATGTTTTGATGGATGGATGTTTGAAGGTATCTTCTGAACAGCTGCATAAATCTAACGAAATTTTGGAACAGATCAGTCTGAAAGAACACAGACTACTAATTTGTTAATTCCGCGCAGACAGAGTTGCGGGCGATAGCTACTTATTGTTAAACAGTAACAATATTAACCAGTAGACTTTAGCTTCTAAAATCAATATGCATTCGAAATAAATCTCACTTCAAACGAAACGGTAATTGGAAAGAAAAAAACTACAAAACCCCCGTTCACCCCCACTATTTGCCTTCCTCCCTGTAATGGTTGCATCCCGAGGTAAATACGCGTTACGTTTTATATTCCATCTCACTCGCACTTATTGTGAATACATCTATTTGTCGCTTCACAATATCAATCGATTGATTGGTAACATTTGAGTTATTATTTAAGGATAAATCTTGAGATATGTTTTATTAGAAACGGGATTAAACTAAATTATTACAGTTTTAGGTCACAAAATATTACTTAATATTCTATTCTAAAAAAATGAGAGTTGAAAAAAGTAATTTTTTTTAATATTATTCGCCATAAACATATTTTTGCTTTTATTTTTTCAAAGGGAATAATATGATATGTTTTTGTACATGTCATTTGGCAGTGGAAAGTTACAATTAAATAAATAATTTTCAGATTTGTCGTCAGATGAGTCATCTCCCGTGTAGCAGGTGTAGGTGCCTTAGGCGATGCACACTGCTCGTTAGCAGAGCGGAACAACTTGCAATGTCATTTTATTCCTGCTAAGCCTTAAAGCTTCAAGAGATGTAAATATTTTTATTCACAAATAGTGTTTATATGTTAATATTATTTATGGTTTTGTATTGAATAAATTCATATCTTTATAAAAATTGCATTTGAAGGATCAGTTTGGTTAACAATATTATATAAAATATTATAGCAGATATAATATTAAATAGCTAGTAGTATTCGGCGAATTAATATTATTTTCTATTTATGTTTCGCTACCAGGAATCCACAGTAAATGGTTTTTTTCTAGAAATATCAAAACGCCTAGTAAAATATTTTTTGTCATAAAAAATGTTTGCTATTATAAATTGCAAGGAGCTTCTATTAAAACCTTACAATCATGATCAATCATGAGTTATTCTACTTTGGATGGTATACGTAAGAATATTCATACTCTTGGTGCTTGCGCTTGTCGTGTACATAACTTGTCATTTTTTGCTTATTTTTTTTTACTATTCGTTTCATTATTATGGTCTCTGTCATTCAAAGACCATATTGAGTGCATGGTCTGTTAACATTGACAATGGAGTGAACAAACAGTAAGTCGTTTCCTGGTTCTATTGTGTGACATATACGAACATTGATAATTGTGTGAACTTGGTACTGGATGTGTGTTCATGTAGATTAATCTTTGATTTTATCATATAGTTTTAACATCTATGTTATGAAGAGTTTTTAGATGGATGGATGTTTGTTTGAAGGTATCTCCAGAACGGCAAGGATCTCGCTGAAATTTGGCATATACAGGGTGTGCCAAAAGGTTACGTACATAGGAAGGGGGATGATTGGGGTGGTCACAAGGGTCTCCAGAAAAATTAAATAAAAATACGTGCGGTGGGAGTACCGAGATGATCATCGACACCCATGGACATCTGGAACACCAGAGGAACTGCAGATTCGTTGCCGGCCTTTTGGAAATGGTATGTTAGCTTCTTGAAGGACTCTAGGTCGTATTGGTTGTATAGTAATTTTTAGATATCTTGGCAGCTCATAAAGTCGCACGAGTCGCTGCGCAGAACACAATTTTAGTTGGGGCGTAGTGGATAGGTGAGGAGAGCTCTGCGCAACGCTGACCTTGAGCCATCAAAACATTTGAAAAGAACTATACAGTTTTGCTGATTTTTTAAATGAGTATTTCTTGTATATTTTATAGGAATTGGTTGAAAAAAAAAATACGTTTAAAAAGATGATTTATTAAGATTTAAAATCACCATTTTTTAAGTACAGCAAAATACAATTTATCAGTTGTCGTTAGGTTATGGCAACATTAATATTACTACATAAATATATATTATTTATAACAGCCTACCCTTTTTTCCAGATAGAGCGAAGTGTAGTCTTCTATACAACTTTATCAGCCGTCTATTCTTATGTATATGTTCTTTTATAAAATCCATACATACATTCTTTGTTCTACCTTTTTACTACTTTCGACACTTATTAATATCTATTTACAATATTCACTAGGTAAAATTTATTAAAAAAATCTAGATAGACAAGGCATCATTTAGCACCATACATAATTTTGCACGATTCATTTTTTAATTTATATTATTTTATTTACAAAAATAAATTTGGTATATAAGCAAATACCGAAAAATAACTTAATAAAGTATATATTTTTCAAGACACAACATTATTTTTTTGTATACATATTTTGTAATCATTTTTTTTATATCATAAGGTGGCAAACGAGCGAGCGGTCACTTGAAATCGTTGAAATAGCGAAGTGACCGTTGCCCATAGACATACGCAATTACATATGCGTTGCCTACCTTTAATCGACGGAGGAGAGGATGCACAGAAAGAAAATATCTTCCCTTTCCATGCATCCTCTCAACCGGAAAGTCCACTTCCACTTCTCATCTTTACCTTATGAGAAAAAGGGTGGGAAGGGAAAGAGGACTAAATTAGGCCTCCGGGACGCACACATCATCAGATGTAACGCGGAATTGCTTCCACTTGACGCGTGTTTTCTGTGTGGTCGTGGTATTTCACCGGGCGAGCCGGGACAATTCGTGCGAAGTTAAAGCGGGCTCTACCACTGTTAAATTTGTCATTTATATAATATAAAATCTATTTATTTATTTACTACATATAATTAGCACCTTGGATATTATTTGTGATGTTTTAATTTAATAGCCTTTAAGAAAACATAAAATACTTCAATAAACAAGACAACAACAATTATCTACAATAATAACTGTGGGTTTCTGAAACCAAATTCTCTCTTTAAAAATATTGTTATCTTATATATTTTATACAGAGAATTTGGTCTCAAAAACCCACGGTAATTTATATTTACATTAAATAAATATTAACTAGCAAATGTTAAGATGTTTAAAAAATTCTCTTTCCTACATTGGTACATAAAAAAACTAATTTAAATTCATCTCTTAATATATATTTAGCTGCACGATTTTTAGTTTCGAAATAAATTAAAATAAGGAACTTTTCAATATTAATAAAGGCACTGAAATATCGAAACGTCTACGCTTAAAAATAATACTGTAATAACGCATCAACTTTCAACTGTCCTACCAAGACAGAATACCAAACTCGTATCGAGTAAAAGATCAGTCTCTTATAAAAATCTTAATATACTATCGATTTATACATAAAGATTCGACATATTTAGGATCCATTTCATCAATCTCCCTACCTTTAGTCTCTGGTACAAAAAGAACTACAAACAGTAGACAAAGAACAGATATTCCTGCATACAACCAGAAAAGACCATATAATCCTATATGATCCTGTATATCAGCTGCTGTTTTAACATTAACGAAACCACACAAATGACTAAAACTAGTAGCTAAAGCACTACCAGTACTTCTATATTCCAAAGGAAATAATTCACCAATCAATAAAGAAGATATTGGACTGATACCCAATGAAAATGCAATAGTAAACGTTAATACACAAATCAAAGGTATCCAATCATACGCGCCAGGTTCTGATTGTGTTAGATCAGTGGAATTCATGAATATCGCCATATAATATGCATAAGAACCATATCCAGCTAAAGCAATAGACATCATGACTCCACTTATCATTAGCAAAGGAAGTCTTCCAACGTTATCGATCAGCATACCTGATAAACATGAAGCTAAAAGTTGAACAGCACTTGTAGCTATTGCCCCACCATGAGGATTCATCATCCTAAAGGTCTTTTTAAACATGGGTACAGCGTAAAAACTAAAAACATGAGCACCAGTAAACCTTTGGAAGAACATTAATCCGCACGTGATCAAAACAGGTCTTGTCAACCTTTTTGATAGTAAAACTTTCAACTTTCCTGCTCTTCCATTGTGGTACTGTTTACTTGCTAGAATATTTGTTCTTATTGTAGCTAACTCCTGCCTGATATCGGAGTCAGGACCCCGTAGCCATTGTAAAGAATCTGCTGCTTCTTCCTCTTTCCCTCTTAGGAATAGAGACGAAGGAGTTTCAGGGATGAAGAGGAGAGCCAGGAAGAGTAGAATCGGCGCGGTAGCAACCACGAATGCCAGTTGTTGCCAATTCAAATATGCTCCTAGTGAGTAAGAGATGAGAATTCCAATTTGGCTGAGTATTTTTGACACGGAACTGAGACATCCTCTTATTTCTGGAACGGCTATCTCCGTGATATATACCTGAGAACAATAGAAAACATATTATAACTTAAACTAAAATGTGTCTATACGATAGATAAGTTTGACAAGTAACGTCTATGAAGTATTGAATTTATTTTGTATGAAGATTAATGTTGTACTTAATAAACGATTGTCATAGTGTCGGACTGTCGCTTCAACGAATAACTGTGAACTATTAAGTATCTGTTGCGCTTTATATGCATGTTTGGGTGTTTTTATAGGTCATTTTATAATTGACAACAGCGCCATCTAGTTAAAAAAATTTGAAAGAAAAATTGGACTTTACGTGCTTTTTTAAAATAATTTGCTAAACCTTGTAAGTATGGTTTTGTTAATCAAATTTAAACCGAAAAAAGTATTATTTATAATTTCATTATATTTTTATATATAAATAAAATGTTCCGTGAAAAAAGAGGCGCTGTGTTTTTACAAAATTATTTTCGCTTTACGCTGATTATCATAAATCGAAATATAATTGTCTCTCAGTCTGTTTGTCAGATTTAAATAAAAGATGAACGTCAATTCCTACTCCTATTTAAAATGGATTCGTTTCATTCCCCTTTATATGTATGAATACAAAGACATTGTTATTTCAGTTTTACAAAGACGAGCTCAGAAAAACAACGCGTGTCCAAACTGCTGATATTTTACAAACAAATGAATAAACAAAAATTGTGACGTCATTGCATACTACTTTTTAATCGTCTGCGCACTTTTCCAATAAGTCGATACTTTCCTCTAGGATAGCCTTTTGCATCAATCATTTACAAGAATATAATTAACACGAAAAACAACTATTTCTTTTATCTTATTACTTTCAAGATGTTCTTTCATTGTAAAAGCAATTCTTATTGTTTAAATACGTCTATTATTCTTTGTTATTGGACCACGGTCTTTGTTTCGCATTTACTCATTGGCTTTCTGAATGTTCTCTGCGGACGTTTTCATTATAATATTTACAGGCCAAGGCCATGTATGTAGAGCTCATAGATATATTAATCTATTAGACACGTCTTGTATTAATATAAAATTTTAAACAGATTTCAGACATAGTATTCTATAGCTATATCCCAATAAATACCGTTTTTTGAAACAATTGTAGGTTGTAGAGCTATTAATTAAATAGACATGTCTTATTTATTTGTTTTAATTATAAAACATAGATGGCAGCACCACTGATCTCTGATCACAGAGCTTTGAATTCGATCCGATATGAACGCACCTGGAAGTTTAGACAAAGTGCATTCGTTACAAAGCGATTCAAAAATGTAAAGAACTAACGATAACTTTCGATAATTCACGTGATTGTCGCGCGACAGGCCCATACATTTTTGAAGTTCGCTATGGAATCGTTTCGAAGCGAATGCATTTTGTCGAACCCGTCTGTTGATAGTACGTGAGAGTGAATTCAATCTATATCAATAGTTCGAATTCACACAACAGATACAAACCACTACTATCAGCGCCAAGATGGCGAAAATCAAATAGGCATCAAATATTACGTTTTATTTATATATCCAGTCTGTTGACAGAGTTAGTAATAACCTAATTCATCTGATGAAATGCAGAATAATTACCTAGTCTTCTGAGTTACTGGTATCACACAAACTGAGCCATCGTTTCTACCATACTAAATAAAAATAAAACACTAAAGCAGTCTTTCCCAAAGTGGGCGATAACGCCCCCTTGTGGACACTGCAGGTCTCAAGTTGCGGGTTATAGTAATAGTTTCGTTTAGAATTCTCCGTTAATATACATATATAGGTCACAATAATTACTTAATTTAATTTTGAAGTTATAGTGGTTTTTAAATATGTGAAAATATGGGGGGCGCTAAAAAAATATTTATTGTCAAAGTGGGCAGTAGACAAAATAAGTTTGGGAACGACTGCACTAAAGGATAAACAGGAAAACTTTAACAGTGGTAGAGCCCGCTTTAACAACTTCGCACGAATTGTCCCGGCTCGCCCGGTGAAATACCACGATCACACAGAAGACAGGCGTGAAGTGGAAGTAATTCCGCGTTTCGTCTGATCAGTGTGCGTCCCGGTGGCCAAATTTAGTCCTCTTTCCCTTCGCACCATTTTTCTTATAAGGAAAGGATGGGAAGTGGAAGTGGACTTTCCGGATGAGAGGATGCATGGAAAGGGAAAATATTTTCTTTCTGTGCATCCTCTCCTCCGTCGATTAAAGGTAGGCAACGCATATGCAATTGCGTATGTCTATGGGCAACGGTCACTTCGCTATTTCAGCGATTTCAGGTGGCCGCTCGCTTGTTGGCCGGCTTATGATATAAAATGAAAATAAAAAAACTGTGCTTTTATTCGCGAAGCTATAATAACTATTTCTTATATTTTAAGTAACGTTTTAGCTTCACATATGACCGATATACTCAGTATTGTGTAAGGAGCTAAAGCTGAGACGCTTTCACGTTTTTGTGTCGCCGTGAGAATACAAGTGACACTACAAAACAACCTTTTAAAATTCAACAGTTACCATTTGTTCATAGTTCACTGTTATGACTGACACACGGTTGACAACTTTGTCGAGCAATATGAATATATGTACCAAATTAAGTAAGAAAGATATTCAAAGAAATTGTGAAACAAAAAAGAACTGTTTTTCCATTATTTTGATTAATAAATCACATATTAATCGTTGGTTTTGTTATACATAAATCTTTGTATAAAACCTATTGTCATCCCTGTCATTATCTTCTCCTACGTCGATTAAAGTTACGCATATGCAATTGCGTATGTCTATGGGCAACGGTCACTTTGCTATTTCAACCATTTCAGATGGCCGGTAACTCGTTTGCCACCCTATGATAAAAAAAACATTACTACCTAAGGAAAACGAATTAGGCAAATGCTATTAAAAAAATTCAGAATTAAAATTAATTAAATTAAAATCAAACTAAATAATCTGAACGACACTATGTCACGTGCTACGCATAAAAAACAATTTCCAATCGCTCCCAATGGAGCGTCTGTGGCTCAGGAGCGTCGGTGGCTCAGTGGTCAAGCACTTGACTTGCAATCTGCAGGTCCTGGTTTCGAATCCCGCCATGTACCAATGTGTTTTTCGATTTCCGATTTACAAATGTACATTTATCCGACGTTCTTACGGTGAAGGAAAACATCGTGATGCAACCTGCACATATCTGAGAAGAAATTCAAAGATATGTTTGAAGTCAACCAACCCGCACTGGGCCAGCGTGGTTGACTATGGCCTAATCACCCTTAACTTCGGGTAGGCTCCGAGCCTCTGGTGAGGACGTATAGTGAGCTGGTGATGATGATGATGAATCGCTCCCGTATGAAACAAGCGAGTGAACTATTCCATAGAGTTGGTAACCCGTGTGATTGATTGAAGTGAATAAATACATTGTTTTTTACTTTATTATATTGTTATCTCTGTTGTGTCAAAGATAATGATAGGGATGGCGATATATTTTATACAGAGATTTTATCTGGAAATTCACAGTTAATACGTTACTTAGTTACTACAAAAAAAGGTGTTAAATAATCTTTTTTGTATTTACAAATAAATTGTAAATAAATTTATAATAACTTGCTCAATTAAAAAACTTGCAAATTAAAAAATCTGCTAATATTTTAAATTAAAATATATATATATATATATATATATATATATATATATATATATATATATATATATATATATATGCCAAATTTCGTCAAGATCCGTTTAGTCGTTCCGGAGATACCTCCTAACAAAAATCCGTATAAAGTTTAATTTTATGATATTAGTAAGATGTCACTGTCTTATTTCCTTTTATTCGAGAACTTTAATTTAAAATTGGAGCACAAAAAAAATTATAATTGTCCTGTTTAAAAATTAATAACTCTATGCAATAGTATCCATTCATGTAAATATCGAACGCAGCGGCCGAACTGCGCAATTAATTACATTGTTTTTTTTTTATAAATATTAAACATGGGAAGTATTTTCGGTGATTACATGAAAAATATTTTAATAGACGTAGGAAAACGACGATTTACTAAGAGTAGTGTTTCTAAGACCTTACAAACAGTTTAAAACATACTGTTTTGTCAAAGACAACAGAGATGACAGAAGAAACAGATATTTTGGTCTTAGAAACCAATGATAAATCTTCTTATTAAAATGTCAGTTTTTATTTTTAAAATTATGTCTAAAATTTAAATTTAAATTAATATCTGTGCGATTTTATCAATGTTACTAATATTATAAATGCGAATGTTTAGATGGATGGATGTTTGTTAGAAGGTATCTCCAGAACAGCTGTATAGATCTCACTGAAATTTAGCATAGATGTAGAACATAGTCTGGAAGAATACCTAGGCTACAAATTAAATATGTTTTAATTTTGCGCTGACGGATTCGCGGGCGACATCTATGGTAATATAAATTACTGATGATGGTAATATCGAGTAATACTGACCTGAGTAATCATGGTAATACAGCAGACGAGCATGCCACCACAGAAGGACGTCGCGGAGATCATATCAACGCTGTTAGAGAAAGCAGTTGCTACCCATGCGAGAGTATACGGCAGAGCAGCCGCCAGAAGTATACTCCGGCGACCGTATCTCATCACAACACCACCCAGGATACCACCTATTAGAGCACCTGGAAAGATAAAGAACAATACATTAATAAATAATTTAGAAGCATTCGGGTCTAAAAATAAAACGTGAACACCCCAAACCCTACCAAAATTTAAAAGTGACTACTGATTTTTTTTGATGTGATCTTAGGTCACATCTTTTGTTTCCATATATGGACTAGCTGTAAGACGTAGTTATTTGTGCCTTGTGTTTTATTTCTCCAAAACGGCTGCGTGGATCTTGATGAAATTTGGCATTATAGAACTTAGTCTGGACCACATAGACTACTTAAGTGCTAATAGGCTTTTTTTAATTCTGCGCGAACGTAGTCGCGTGCAAGTATGTACTATATTATTGAAAATATTTGCCCCTAAAACAAAAATCACAAGGCATTGTTCCTACTACATTACTATCACCGATGTTTAAAGTAAAACGTTGAAATGTATTTATATAAAAGAATATTTTAACTTTATCTGACCGAGACAGAGATCGTTGAGAGCGGAACGCACAGACACAAAAATAAACAGACAGCCCCGTATATTTATAGTCGCTGCGAATAACTCCCAACAGATCTGTTATTTGTTTTTAATTAAATAAAATACACTGTTATATTAAATGATGGAGAAATTTTAACAGAATCCATTCTATCACCTTAATATAGTCTGTGGTATAAAGTATATATTTTTTATCTTTATCATGTTAATATTATAAATGCGAATGTTTGGATGGATGGATGTTTGAAGGTATCCCTAGAACAGCTGTTTGGTACTACTGCACCGACGGCGGGGCAGCAGTGCGGGGGACACCCTTACAGACCCCACCCGCCGCCCCGCGCGCCCTTCACTCTGCATCTACCAATTGCGCGCCATTCCGCCCGACTATAATCATTTGCATTACAATCATCAGTCACAACCAGCCTTTCATTGCATCATCATACAGTCCACTCGCTCAACAACAGCTGAACGGATCTCGTTCATTGGCATACATATATAACATAGTCTGGAAGAATACATTGTCTACTAATTATTTATTTTTTTTGATTTCGCGCAGATGGAGTCGCTGGAGACAGCAAGTCTCTCTGTCTGTATGTCTTCTTACACGCAAAAACTACTGAACCGATTTAAATCAATCAGTTTTTTACACATATAGTCTAGAGCCTGGAGAAGGACATAGGCTACTTTTTAACGCGAAAAAGGGGTTGTAAGGGGTTGAAACTGTGGTTTGGAAATTTGTGCGGAAGTATTTTTCATCTTCATTAGGTTTTACACACACATCACAGTTAGGTTTATTTAAATGTCTTGTAAGTTCAATATGTTTTGTTGTAATATTTTATTATTTAAAGTAAAAATAATTAGCCCTAATTATTAAAAATGCCTCCCAAACACATTTCACGCGAACAAAGTCGCGAGTTAATCTAGTTTCTATGGAAATCCGCAACACCAAAGTTGCAATGCCTTTAAAAAAGAGGTTCGCTTTTTTGAAGCACTTGTCGTATTGGTTTGAAATTATGACGCAGACGATATTCATCTGTTTTTCATTCTACTTGGCATAAGTTTGGAAACGGCTCAATTTCAAAGTTCATTGAACTTCCCACGTGACTTTTATTATATTTATCCATGAAACCAATTTAAAATAGATTAAATTGGGTGTTGTAATTTAAACAAATCGTGGGTAACTTTTGCCCGCGACTGCGTGGAATTAAAAAAACAACTTAGTCGTCTATGTTTTACGTCTATGCTAAATTTCCACGAGATCTGTAGAGCCGTTCTGGAGATACCGTTTGAAAACCCAAACATCCAAACTTTCGCAGTTATTATATTAGTAAGGTCTCAATCACTTGGCTACAGGTCCTGGGTTCGAGTCCCGCCATAGACCTATATTTTCAATTTACATATGTACATTTATCCGACGTTCTCACGGTGAAGGAAAACATCGTGATGCTACACATATCTGCGAAGAAATTCAAAGATATGTGTGAAGACATGCACTGGGCTAGCGTGGTTGACTATGGCCTAGTCATTCCTAACTTGGGAAGACTCCGAGTCCCTCATTGGGGATGTATAGTGAGCTGATGATGAAGATTAAGTTTGCTACGTGTACTTTATAACTTAAGTAAGCAAGCAGTAACTTTAAGTGTACCGTTAGATTCATAAAACAACTTTCATACAATTTATCGACGATTAAGTTGTAAATCTTGATTTTAATTATATATCCAATAACATTTCCAGTTATTCTAAACCTTTGTTAACTTAATAGTTATACAGTTAGTGATGTAAAGACTTTAGTTCGTTAATTTATAATATAATTTACTGTTAGCCGTTAATCTTACTGTAGCATTCGTTGCGTTATATTTGGCACGTTCACGTACCGACACGTGTTGCCGGTCCAAAGGTCTGACATCGACTGACGTCCCCTCTCTCCGGCATGTACTTATGGCGTGTACGCTCGAGACAAACAACACTACGTTTATGCATATACTACACTTACCATAAGTATATACTATGCCTTGTCTTACTAATATTATAAATGCGAATGTTAAGATGGATCGATGGATGTTTGTTTGAAGGTATCTCCAGAACGGCTGAATGTATCTCGATGAAATTTGGCATAGATGTAGAACATAGTCTGGAAGAACACATACTAAGTTTTTTTTTTAATTCCACGCGGTTAGAGTTGCGGGCGTCAACTAGTATATCATAAACTGAAATGGAAAATACGGAATTTTAAAAACACATGATTTTAATTCGTGTCTTCTTATATTTAAGTTATATTTTAGCTTGTGGCCTACGACTATATAATTTGGTTTTCAATGTTAAACACATTAATGTAATTTTTCAATGGAATATCAGCACATATTTTAATACCATTTTGTATCTTGTAAATTAGCAAATAAGGTTTAATTTTGCTTGTTGTCTATGAAATTGTATTTCACAGTCCCTTTGTATGCAAAGTTAACACGAATCCAAACAGTGTTTATGATGTATTGTAGTCAAGTAAATGTTGAATAAAATTATTGCTATAATAGAAATTGTGCGGGTTCACTTGTATTTACTAGGATTTAATATAAAATTGTCGAAGTAATAGCTTAATAGAATGTAGTTCATGAACCTTATGTAACTAGCTGTCGCCCGCGACTCCATCAGCGGGGAATTAAAAAAAAACCTTAATAAATAGCCTATGTATTCTAGAGCCCGCGCAGGTTTTAAAAAATCTTTATAAGTAGTCTATGTTCTTTCAGACTATGTTCTATATTTGTGCCAAATTTCATCCAGGTATGTTCAGCCGTTCTGGAGATACCTTCTAATAAACATCCATTCATCCATCTATCCGTCTAAACTGAATCCTGGGTTCGTATCCCGCCATGAACCTATGTGTTTCTCAATTTACATATGTACATTTATCTGACGTTGTTACGGTGAAGGAAAACATGGTGATGCTGCACTTATCTGCGAAAGTCAAAGATATGTGTGAAGTCATGCACTGGGCTAGAGTTGACTATGGCCTAGTCACTAACTTAGGGTGGGCTCCGAGCCCCTTTTTTTTTTTTCAGAGGGGAATGCTTTATGCATACTCCGCGCCCCGGGGGGGACGCGGTAGTTATGTGGGATTCTCCTCCATAGCGGAGGCATAACCACTAAACCCCTCTGTTCCTCCAACGCATCGGGACGGGACCACAGGCACGCTTTCGCTCTCGTCCGCGGCCCCGTCTGCGCCAGCTGCCGAGGCAGTTCCCTCTCGGGGCTCCGAGCCCCTCGGTGGGGACGTATAGTGAGCTGATGATGATGAATACACTAAGATAAATCAAGAAATACAGACACAGAAGTCTGAAATATATTCTAAGAATATCTGAAGAGTTAGCTCGTATTCAATTTAATTTACGACGCAACAATTCTGATACTTGATTACGTTTCTGATTCCAACTGACGTCAGGAATGTGAATCCAAAAATAAAGCTTCGTATACACTGATCAAATCTTGAGATTGTCGTAAAATTGTGTAGAATTGTAGTGTAAACTAACCTTTATATTGCCAGTTATGTTTTATAGAGAAATGTAGCTGTTTAATAAATAAAAAGTATTTTATACGAAGTTAATAATTTTGCTTGGATTATTTGTTTGATTTAGGCATTGTTAGATGGCGCTATTACTAATTTTAAACATAAACTACTCATTTATTACTCGATTTTACTAATGTAATAAAACACTATTAGGATCTAAATCAGACGAGACAAGTATGAAGGAATTTACAGTAACAACATCGAGCGTCGGTGGCTCAGAGGTCAAGCACTTGACTGCAATCTACAGGTCCTGAGTTCGAATCCTGCCATGTACCAATGTGTTTTCGATTTTCGATTTACATATGTACATTTATACAACGTTCTTACGGTGAAGGAAAACATTGTAATGCTGCACATATCTGAGAAGAAATTCAATGATATGTGTGAAGTCAATCCGCACTTGGCCAGCGTGGTTGACTATGGCCTAGTCACCCGTGACTTTGGGTAGGCTCCGAGGCCTTCAGTGGGGACGTATAGTGAGCTGATGATGATGATACATATTATAAATAAAGTGCCTAGGTGTATTGTTGTTAATAACGAAAAATTTATTATTATAATTTATGTCTGTATGTCTGTCCGCATGACCGCGTTTGTTCCGGGTAATCTCCGGAACTTCTAGTCTTTGACGGGAAGATGGCTGATGCACGCGTGCATATTATGGGTTACACTGTTTTATTCTGTGCTGACGAAGTTATAAAATTAATAAAAAATTGCAATTGTTTTGATAACGCTAAGTACAAATGCTACCTAACTTAACATAAACGGAGAACCCACATCAAAGTACTATGGATCGACCACAAAACATAACATTGCGAAGTGGTCGTAAAATTCACCACTTTACAAACTGCCAAGTGGTTACTCGGTACGCGAATCCGTCAAATTTAAACATAAACACATAAGGATTAAATTCCTTTGAATCTTTGACATCTTTACACGTTCCTGGACATTTTTAGGTTAATAGTTTAT